GACGGCTGGCGTGGGCTCGACGGCAGGCGTGGGCTCGGCGGCAGGCGTGGGCTCGGCGACAGGCGTGGGCTCGGCGACAGGCGTGGGCTCGGCGGCAGGCGTGGGCTCGGCCTCGGCCTCAGGGGCAGGCTGGGACCGGGGCTCTGGCTCGGACGCGGACGTAGGTTGTGCAAACTTGGACTTGGACTTGTCGCGGAAGACGGTTGGAGCCTTGAGGGCACGGCGGCGGCGCGATCGACGCGGCGGAGGCGCGGCGGCGGCCGACGTGTCGGCATCGGTGGCGGCGTGGTCGTCGCGGAAGGCAGCGTGCGAGGGTGAGGCCTTGACTGGTGAAGAGCGGGCAGGAGTGGTGGCAAAGCGCGAGGCAGCCGCAGCGGCGCGGGCCCTAGGAGGCTGCAGCTGGCGAGTCCGCTGGCGAGGAAGCGTGGCCGACGACGGGCGCGACGACGGACGCTGGCCGGGCGTGGGGGTGGGGAAGACCAGGCGCTGCGGGACAAGCGGCGTCTCGGGGATGTCAGCCTCAGCGCGAGCCAGTTCATCAGCTAGATCGGCCTCGAGAGAGTCGAGGAAGGCGATGGCGCGCTGGCGACGGAGCTTGGACGCCTGGGCGCGCTCAGACGCCAAGCGTGCCGGAGTCTCCATGCCAAGCTGCTCGTACGAGCGGACAAGCGGCGGATCGGCCGGCTTGTCGGCCTTCTCAGCCACTTGGCGAGCCCGCTGAAGGCTTGAATGCCGCCAGCGGAATGTCCGTAGTGCCGCTCCAGTCGTCACCATCAGTGCCGAGACGTTGAGTGCGCCGTGCCGCGGAGCCTCGTCGGATAGCGCAGACGACTCGGCCGGCGACCGCGACGGCGACCGCGACGGCGATCGAAGCCGCGACATCGGCGAGCGAGCCACACGGCTGGGAGTCGCGTCCATGGAGGCGAGATCAGCCGTGACAGCAGCAACCCCGGCGGCAGGCGTGTCGAGAGCCAGCGGGAGAGCAGCGGCAAAGGCAACGGCGGCAGCCGTGGTGGACGAAACCTCAGGCATGGTTGCTGAGAGAGTATGGACGTTGCGTGAGCCCATGCCAAGCGCTCGCTGCGTAGTTGGAGTCGCCAGCTTAGTGGCAGACTTGATGGGAGTGCCATTGCCCACGGAGTGAATGCCCACGGCGGCGTAGTCGGCAAGCGATTGGCGCGGTGGCGACGCATTCACAAAATTTGAATGCAGTTCGTCCAACGTTCCCACGTCAAGCGAGACGTCCGTGAGGAGTTCACACTCGGACATGGCCACAGACGACCGGAGCGTCGAGAACCACTCGATGGACTCGCGGCGGTTGCTCATGGTTAGAAGGGCAGGGAGGGGGAGGGGGGCGGGGCGGCGTGGGGGGAGGGGGGGGGAGTCAGGTGATCGTGATCGTGCTCGTGCTCGTGATCGTGATCGTTAGCAGGATCGGAACATGAAAAGAGTGGCTGGAGAGGGCGGCAATGGCTGTGGGAATGGGTGATACGCAGATCTTTAGATTGGAAGGCAGATGAGTACGAGAGAAGAGTGGATGTGTGTGTGGTGTGTGTGTGGTGGCAGCGGTGGGAGCGGTGGGAGCGTGAGGGGCTTCAATCCGGAGACGAGCAAAGTCAAAGTGTGGCGAAGAAAAAAGCAGATCTGCAATCGGATGTTGGCTGAGGTGGATGGAAACTTGCCTCAGACGGGCAGGTCGTGCCCGATGTCGATCGAGTTTGTCCGACAACGGGTGCAGGATGAGTTCCCCTGGGTGCAAAGAAGATCGGTAACGTTCGCATTTACGGAAGATCGGCATGCGCGCGGGTCCAACCGCGCGATGGGGTCGTGGGCATTGGACTCGTATTAGTTTGACTTGACGGGTGAGGTGGCCATGAGCCGGGCCTCTGCAATGTCCGAGGCCTTGGGAGTGAGGGCCTTTGATGTGGCAGGCTCAAAGTCCGGGACGGCGGTCTTGATGGCGTCGAGGAGGGCGAGGCGGAGGTCCGAGACCGAGGTGTTGGTGTTGTCGAGGCAGAGGTCCCACTTGCGCGACTCGTAGAACGCCACAGTGGTGTCCATCCACGAGCGGTCGTCCTCGCGGTAGAGCTTGCGCTCGGGCTCGATCTCCAGGCGGGCGTTGATGCGAGCCCAGAGAGTCTCGGGCTCGGTCTCGATGTGGACGGTCATGATGTGGATGTCGCACGAGCGGAGCTCCTCAATGGCGGCCTGGATGACGGGCTCGAGCAGCTCACCATTGGCGGCGTAAAAGACAGCAGAGAAAGGCGAGCGATCAGCAAAGAAGACAGCCTCTGACGGCGACTCCTCCATCATGCCCAGGAGGCGGTCAAACCAAGCCGAGACCCAAGCCAGTTCCATGGTCAGCGACTGAGGGGAGAGGGCCTTGGACGTCGGCGCCTCCATAAAGCCCTCGTCGAGCGTCTGCCAGTTGTGTGCAGCGAGCTCAGAGATGAGCGAAGACTTGCCAGAGCCTAGAGAGATACATGCATGAGTTGGGGTCGGTAGCGTGTGTGTGTGTGGTGGGGGGTTGGGGGGGGGGGGGTAGGGGTAGGATGTTGTCTTGGCCAGTGTACTCGTGCTCATTGTAGCCTGTGTCTCTTCTGAAAGGGGATCTACGACACTCTGCTCTACCTCGGCTTTGCTCCG